AAAAAATAAAACACATTATGGAAATTGAATTGTAATTACTTAATTATCAAGTAGATATGAGAGCTGAATCAGAGAGGGGTCTGAGTTTCTAGCTGCAGCATATGTGTCAATAATAGTACCACTTATGATATGGGGACTAGAGCAGAAAAAGCAGGTCTCAGGGTTGGGACCGATGGGGAGGAATGTTACATCAGGATCTAGACATACTGAGTGTGAGGCAGCTAGAGGACATCCACACAGACGTGAGTGCCTTGCAAAAATGGGTCTATAGCTAAGAAAGACCTAGGCTACAGATGAGATTTGGGGTGACAAGCACATGGTAACCAAACCTACAGAAGATGAGACCATTCACAGAAGTGTCTGAGTGAGAAGGAGAGGAAGACAGTCGAATGATGAAGAGAAGCTCTGAAAATGCCTGATTAGCTAGAGAAATAATAGCAAAATAGAAAAAATAATGGTGTTAGGGAAGGAAGGCAGAATCAACAATGTCAAAAGTCATAGGGATAAGAAAAGAAACCAATGGAAAGTCCCTCATTGCATGTGAAAACTAGAAAGCTTGAAAACAGTACTTTAGAATAAAAGTTTCAGAGGGGAGGCTGGGGTAGAACCATGGGCCAAAGAATGTACATGCACAAGAGACGAGGATGGAGACAAATAATATGGTGTCTTTTTTTTTTTTTTTTGAGAGTCTGTATGCAAACGTGTGCATGAGCTCACGTCCGCATAGGTGACAGAGTAAGTGGAGCTGAGGTGTAGTAGGAGGGTTGAGATGAGAAGAGGCTGAAGCACATTCACATAATATGGGAAAGGAGCTACTGGAAAGAGGTTGAAAATAGGAGTAAAATGAGGTCCCAGAGGAGGAAAGAGGCATCAGGATACAACCCTAGGACAGGAGAGGGAAGGCTTTATTTCCTGGGACTTCAGGAAAAGAGGAGTGTAGAGAGAAATAAGTTTCCAGGTGGTAGAACATGAAGTTGAAGAGTTATTTCTGGATTTTTAAAATGTTTCTCTACAGAACTGAAGGCAGATCACATTCTGTGAGTGGTGGGTGTGGGGGTGGGTTGAGAGCTGGTTTCCTTTGGGACAAGTCAGAGTGGAGGGGCAGTGGGACTGACGAGGGGCACGGAGGAAGACGACGGGGCAGCCCAGCCCCAGTCAGCACCTGAGCCTACCCAAGGCATACACGTAAGCCCAGAGTTTACAGAAACTGAACGACTATCTGACATTAGGTGTCACAGGGTAGGAAGAATTAAAGAGCCACAGAGATGATCTTTCTAACATATCAGAACAGCAAGAAAAGTTAAGTAATAATAACTTATAATATAACTTTGTAGGGTGGGGAAGGAAGTAAGGTACTATAATAAATGAAAAAGTCAACAAACTGAAGATCCTGATGAAGTCAAAGGGCTAGGAAGACAGAAAGTAGCCCTCAAGGTAGCAGCATTTAAGATTTCGGGTTGAGAGCTGAAGAGGTCCAGAACTGTATGGCTACATCATCACGTGGTTCCTTCCCAGAGCCACAATCCCATCCAGGCACAAAGAAAGAGGTACTGAGAGAAGAGGGAGAGGAGGAAGATAGGGTATGGGTCCTGAGCATTCTAAGCTGAGAGAGGAGACTGTGGCGCAGGGACTGTGAAGTCAGGTGAGGACAGATACAAGAGCGGTGGTCAGTACCTGGATGGCACAGCCTCAGAGAGGATCGCTTTAACTTGCAGTTTGGAGAGTTAGGGCTCAGTTAAGAAACTCAGGTTACAGGGGAAGCAAGGACAAGTAGCCTCTACCCAGGAGAGACAAAAAGGTACTTTACTCGGGGAGAGCCAGGCTTCAGCGGGGAGAACATGCAAGGAGGTTCGCTGAGTGGCAGGCTCACAGGGGAGTGCAGCTCCCGGGCACACCACAAACAGCAGCAGTGGAAGAGACAGCAGGGGGCAAGGGGCCACATCTCCTCTGAGGAAGAAACGACTTCTCCTAAAACGGTACCTATGCTAGGTGAATGGCCTTCTTCCTGAGAAGACATACAGAAGAAAGAGCCCAAGCTAGTGAGGATGGAGGTGGGGTTAGTAAATACACAGCAAACCGAGCTCTTCTGGCAGCCTTCAACCTGACATGTCCGACAGGCAGCTGGGTACATGAGTCTAACATCTGAGACGAATCACAAGTTTCACTGACTTGTATACTTGAGAAGAATTTAAGCCACAAATGTCTTACTTTTAAGTGTCTCAGTTCCAATTTTTAACAATTCCTCCATTTAGAGCAATTTGATCAAACTACTGAGAGGATTCAAAATACTCTATCACATCCAAAGACTGCAATCACAACACATTTATGTAAAATTCAAAGACAACTCAGGGCTTGCATAGGGGAGGAAGGGAACAGGCTGGCTGGGGCCCTCAAGAGGGATCCTGAGGTGGCACTCTTCCCCAGATCTGTACCCAGACTGTGGTCGAGACCCCGCACTCTACCATGTAATAGAGCTCAGCAGAACCGAACACAGCCACAAGTGAGGGCAGGTGACACTGGGGAGATCTGGATGGATCGCATCCATGTCCACTTCCTGGTGGCAGTTATGCCAAGATGTTAGCACTGGGGAGAACCAGGGGAAGGGTATGCAGGATCTCTGAGTGCTACTTCTCACAACTGCATCCATATCTACAGTTGTCAAAAGAAGCTTGGGTTGTTGTTTTTTGTTTTTTGTTTTTTTTTTAATTAGAGGCAACAAAGCAAGGTGTACAACTGGGACACACTGTCTTCAACACTCAGGGTAAACACTAAAGATTAGGGTTCTAGCTCAATGATACTCAACAGAAATTTGGAGAGGGTGAAGGGGCACCTAAATGTTAGAACCACTGCCCACGCCCCCATTCCCTGCACACACACCAACACCAGAATTGTTGCCATGGTGAGCCAGGTTTCAGAAGTTTGTCTATCTTCAAGTGCACTGCAAGTAAAGAAGAACAAAAAACCACTCTCTGGGGGCGACTTATCTCTACAAACGCTACTAACCCATAAGGAAAACATGTAAGAGAAACATAATATTTAGAAAGTAATTTATAATAAACATGAAATATTTTTAAGAGGTTACTTCTCATTTGATTTGTCCAAAATTAGCCAATACACTTTTTCATGGAAATGTACTTGATCAACAGAAAGAAAAATGATCTGTTCCTTTAAGAAAGAAAGTATGGACCTTTTCCCCAGTACATTTTCTTTTCCTTTTTTTTTTTTTTAAAGATTTTATTTATTTATTTGACACAGAGAGAGAGAGAGAGAGATCACAAGTAGGCAGAGAGGCAGGCAGAGAGAGGGGAAAGCAGGCTCCCTGCTGAGCAGAGAACCCGATGTGGGGCTCGATCCCAGGACCCTGAGATCATGACATGAGCCGAAGGCAGAGGCTCAACCCACTGAGCCACCCAGGCGCCCCCCCGCCGCAGTACATATTCAGTGGGATATCCATACCGTCCTAATGAGGAAGACAACGTATATAAGGATATACAATCTGTAGCCTTGAGTAGAGTGAGATTATTCAGCCTACACGGGAGGTCTCCGCACACTAGCACCATACCCTCGTCAACTAGCGGAAAGAATCACAAACAAGTAGGAAACAAAATGTGATAAACTCAGTATTTTTTTTTTTTTTTACGTCCCTACCAACAAGCAGCCCTAAAGAAAAGAACCATGCCCACTAAAATCTAATATGGAATAACACTGTAGAATAGTAAGTAGTAATTTAGTATTTGAACAAATGGTATCAATCAGAACAAAAATTAAAATCACCTCAGGATAAACACATTTTTAAAGCTGTGGTGTGAAACCTATTCACAGAATTGTGTACATGCACAAGTATGTACATCAGAATCCAAATGTTCAACCACAAGGGAACTGTTACATAAAAGAATGGCATATTCAAAGATGCTATCAAAGCCAATGAAAGACTTATGATAGGAAAATGCTTACAGTGTAATGTGAGGTGGGAAAAGAGCTACAATTAATATGTGAAGGCTTCTAATTTAAAATTTAAAAGAATGTATATAGGGGTGTCTGGGGACTCAGTCAGTTAAGCATCTGACTCTTGGTTGGGTGACTCTTGGTTTCAGCACAGGTCATGATCTTAGGGGTGAGAGACAGAGCTGCATGTGAGGCTCAGTGCTCAGCATGGAGCCTGCATGAGATTCTCTCCTTCTCCCTATGCTCCTCCCCTTTGCATGCGCACTCATGCTCTCTCTCAAATAAATTAAATATTTAAATAAATAAAAGAATGTACATATATGTTTATTCAGAAAAAAATACAAAAAAATATAAACCCAGAAGTTTTAAATTTGTTTTTAAATCATGAGGTTTTTCTTTTTTTTTTTTTTTTAGATTTTATTTATTTATTTGACAGACAGAGATCACAAGTAAGTAGAGAGGCAAGGCAGAGAAAGAGGAAGCAGGCTCCCCACGGAGCAGAGAGCCAGATGCGGGGCTTGATCTCAGGACCCCAGGATCATGACCCAAGCTGAAGGCAGAGGCCTTAACTCACTGAGCCACCCAGGTGCCCCAAGGTTTTTCCTCTTTTACACATTTCTGTTTTAAAAGTTTTCTACAGAGAGTACATACTACTTTTATAATGTGGGGGAAAAAAGAAAACTACACTGATAAATATTTTCAGCAATATTTAAAAGGTTACGGAATAATAAGAAATTTACATATATGAATACACATACACATATATATGATTACCACTAATTTTAAAAAAGAGAATTATGCATAAGAAAAAAAGTTAGTAAGAAATACACTGAAATAACAGTGGCTGTGTTTGAAGGATGCAATAATTATGGGCAATCTTCCTTCCTTCTACTATTTTGTGTCTTGAAATTTTTCTTTAAAGAACATGTATTATGTTAATATGAAGAAAACCACTGCACTTATCAACCCTAATCCCAAACCTTCTTTTTCATTGTATTTTGCCTCCTAAAACAAACCCACGAATATACACACGCACACAAACCCAAAGTACTTACATGGGCTTACATCTCTGTATCTGTTTCGATTTCTGTTTTCTGGAAACTTGGCCACTCTATGAGGATAGTCATGGGACTCATTGCGAATTTCCTTAAAATAACAAAAATACATTTTAATATTCCTCTTAAATTGAGCAAAACAGAGACTTTCCAGTATAAAGTAACATTTATCAAGCACTGACGAAATGCCAAGTACAACACAAAGCTCACTGTCTACATTATCTCATTCAGTTCTTACAACACCAACAGGAAAAACTATCATCCCTGTTTTATATATGAGGGATGACAGGCTTCAAGAGGTGAAACAATCTGCCAAAGGTCATAACGCCAGTAAGTGCCAGACCTCAGGACTGAACAAGGTCCTTCAGGCCCGATGTCTCTGCTCTGGATGTATTCATGTATTGCCACGTAATGATTCAACCCCTAGAAGCAACATTAGACACTTTATGTAACACAGAACTAACGCAATGGAGGTATCTAAGGCTAATCACATCATACTCTGATTTCTTACTAAGCTCTCAATAATATCTACCTCTATTTTGGAGTTTCTATCTTAAAACTTTCATCTATTTCTTCACCTTCATGCCATATTACTGTTACTTTGAGTCCAGAAATATCCTCAAATTTTATTTCTAGAGCCATAAATGCTTAGCAATCACCACTAGGTCAGAAGCTCATTTTAGGACCCTTACAGTTCTCTGTGTTCCACTGGGGAAGAAATTCTATGAGAGTACGGCTGCACTAAGCACTGGTGTATCCAGCATGAACAGTTTTTGTGGTTTTTTTTCCCCCCACTCAAAGAGAACACATTATTCTGAGAACAAAGGCTAAACCAGAAACACCCAAAAAAGTGTGCATCAACAGCAAAAATTAATTTGATTTGTTTTCACACTATCACATGTGAGAAAAAGCATTTTAAAAGTGAGGTGCCACATGATTTTATAAATTAAGCATAAATAACTCAAGTCACTTCTTTTTATTTTTTTTTACTATTTACAGATGTTTAGTTTTATAACTGTATTCCTAAATAATTAATTTTGATTGAAAACCCTATGTATTTTTTAATAATTTTTAATCTTTATTATTTTTTAAATTTCTTTTCAGCATAACGGAATTCATTGTTTATGCTCCACACCCAGTGCTCCATGCAATATGTGCCCTCCATAATACCCACCACCTGGCTCCCCCAACCTCCCACTCCCCACCCCTTCAAAACCCTCAGATTATCTTTCAGAGTCCATAGTCTCTCATGGTTCACCTCCCCTTCCAATTTCCCTCAACTCCCTTCTCCTCTCCATCTCCCTATGTCCTCCATGTTATTTGTTATGCTCCACAAATAAGTGAAACCATATGATAATTGACTTTCTCTGCTTGACTTATTTCACTCAGCATAATCTCTTTCAGTCCCGTCTATGTTGATACAAAAGTTGGGTATTCATCCTTTCTGATGGAGGCATAATACTCCATAGTGTATATGGACCACATCTTCCTTATCCATATCTAGTAATGAGATTGAAGCAGTGATCAAAAACCTCCCAAAAAACAAGAGCTCAAGTCACTTCTTGACAAATGCTCCTACTATGGATTACCCGGCCTCTTGTATGCCACCAACCCCAGAACAGGTAACTTTCTAGTTTGTCTTTTCACCCACTGGGCCTTCTAAGATGCAGAGAGTAGGGAACACAGACCACCTCTCAGTGGGTTACACTGTGTGTGCAAAGAACATGTGGAACACAACCTATGTTGGTATTGCCTCTTTGGAAAATGCAATATGCCACAAACACACAATAGAAACACATACACATACACGTTATAATTGTTGCTACTGATTTTTTAATGCTTCTCTCTCATCCAGCAGTCTTACTGAGCTCTCTAATATTCTGTAGTGGCTCTGGATTTCTCAGTATTACCAAACAGTTGTAATTCTGTCTCTTCCCTGTAATTTTTTTTATTTTTTATTTCTTTTTCTTATCTAATCCCATTGGCTAAAATTGATTATTCAATGTCATATAGATATATTTTCCCCCCTGATTTTGAAACAACTGCTACTAAGGTTTAACCATTAGGCATAATATTTGCTTTGTGTTTCTGATCAATAGATACCCTTTTCAAGCTAAGATACTTCTCTTTAATTTCTAGTTGGCTAAACATTTTTTATCATGGGTGGGTGTTGAACTGTATTCAGTGTTTTCCCTGCATTTATGGAAGTGATCATATAGCTGTTCTCCTTTACTCAGGTAGGTGTTGAATTACAATTTACACATTTTCACTTAATAATATGCCTTTAAAGTTCCTCCATGTCCTTTCATGGCTTGATAGCTCATTTCTTTATAGTGCTGAATAATATCCCATTGTCTAGATGTACCACCATTATTTTATTTAAGATGTACGCATCTATGTTTTTAAGTTAAACTGACCCCTAATTTTCTATTTTCATATGACTTAATTCAGTTCCAGTATCAAAGTTATATAGCCTCATATATTAATTTGGACAGAAATATTACCTTTCGGTTTCAAAAACCTTTCCAAGAAAGCATATAACAAATGTAATTAGCTGAAAAGATGAAAAAGTGTCAACCATTCTAACACATTAATTATATTAAGTTTTTATATGTTAAGTAATAAATTTTACATGTAAAATTAAATACATTCAGGTCTAGGCTTATATTTATTTGATAATTCATACACTCTATAGAGTTGAAACACTACAAAGTAATTTTTTAAAAAGATTTTATTTATTCATTTGAGAGAGATACAGAGACAGAGAAGAGACCACAAGCAAGGGGAACACAGAGGGAGAGGGAGAAGCAGACTCCTTGCTGAGCTGGGAGCCTGACATGGGGCTTGATCCCAAGACCTGGAGATCATGACCTAAGTCAAAGGCAGTCGTCAAACCATCTGAGCCACCCAAGCACCCCTACAAAGTAATTTTATATTGCAAATTAGTAACTGACATAAAAGAAAAATATTAATTTAAAATAATACTAAAACAGGGACACCAGAGTGGCTCAGTTGGTTAAGTGTCTGCCTTTGGCCCAGGTCACAATCCCAAAGTCCTGGGACTGAGCCCTACATTAGGTTCCCTGCTCAGCAGGGAGCCTGCTTCACCTTCTACCCCCTACCCGCAACTTGTGTTCTCTTTTGCTGGTACATGTGCTCTCTCAATAAATAAAAATCTTTTTTAAAAAATTAAAAATTACAAAATAAAAACATACTAAAACAGTTTTCTGTTAATAGCTTTTCTGTATCAAATGTAGAGAAAACAAACTGGCAAGAATAAAAAATTCTAGTAACACGAGGCAGATGATACATAATGTATGATACATACATTATTGCTGAATGTAAACAGATACAATGTTTGGGAATGATTTAATAAGATCATAAATTTGACCCACCAATTTTATCTTCAAGGAATTTATATCACATAGCCACCCACCTGTGTGCAAAGATTTATGGACAAGGATGTTCACTGTACATAAGAGTGAAAAATTAGGGACGCCTGGGTGGCTCAGTTGGTTGGATAACTGCCTTCGGCCCAGGTCATGATCCTGGAGTCCCAGGATTGAGTCCCGCATCGGGCTCCCAGTTCCACGGGGAGTCTGCTTCTCTCTCTGCCCTTCTCCTCACTCATGCTCTCTCTCACTGTCTCTTTCTCAAATAAATAAATAAAATCTTAAAAAAAAAAAAAGTGAAAAATTAGCAAAAATGTTAAATGATCTTCAGGAGTGAACTGGTGAGATAAATTATAAGGCACCAATGTCTTATAATTTATAATGGAAAAGGAAACAAGGAAAAAGGACAAGTGCTACATATAGTGTTATGAAAAATTTTCAAGGAAACAATGAAATTAACAATTTCACTGCATAGTGAAAAAAGTACAAAACAATATTGCACTCATGGTGGGGAGGGAACAATCCACTCAAACATAAATATGCCTAGAATATAGTGAATAATTCTAGGAGGATGAGAAATTAGTAAATTTTGGGGGGAAGGCTGAACATCTAGGGAAGGGTACAGATTTATGCAATAAAAATTTATTTTCATTGTGAAATATTTCAAATAGAAAAATATATATAATATCACACTCATTTTACCATCAGTGAGATTAAACACTTATTGCCATTTTTGACTATCTGCTTCAAATCTTTATTTTTTATAAAATCTATTTTAGAGAGAGAGAGAATGTGTGTTTGCACACACAAGTGAGAAGGGGGAGTGGGAGAGAGAGAATCTCAAGCAGACTCCACACTAAGCATGGAGCCGCCTTCATGGGGCTCAATCCCATGGCCCTGAGATCACGAACTGAGCAGAAATCAAGAATCAGATACTTAACTAAGCCACCCAGGTACCCCAAACCCAACACATTTCTTAATTTATTCTTAAGTATTAAAAAAAAAATTTTGTTTTAACTGATCTCAATAGGACACTTTTTTTTCCCTTAATCAATGAGGATGGATTTCATAGTATTACACTCCCTCATACTGACCATCTTTACAGTCCCAAAATAAATTTGGGAATGGTATTCTAACTGTCTCTCTAGATAATACCTCATAATATCATTAGAATTTTAGGATTATAATCCTAAGTAAAATTAAGCTGCCTATTTGGAAGGGGAAGGGAAGATGCTTACTCATCTATTTTTATCTTTCCTTTGTATTCAATCTGCCCTTCTAAAGCTTTATTTTACCTTATTGTTTTTCTAGCTTGAATGAAATGCTTGCTTAGCCCACTAATATCCTTTTCTTTCCTTCTTGCTTTAGAGACTGGTCAAATCCCATTAAGCTTAGAAGAGTGTCATCTCATTATTTTCTAGAGTCTCTAATGGCATACTGATTTCTTCTTTTACCCAAAAATGATTTGCAATGGCTGCTGTTTTCTATATGTTATGCTTCCTTATTTCCTTTTCCCCGTTTTTTTCTGTATTAATCAAGTTTTCTTTGTTCCTCTTTCCCTCTAGTAATTTAGAAGTAAAAGTATCATTCCTATTCTATTGGGAATCAGTCTTAAAATTTTGTAAAAGCCATGTTTGAACTTGTATTTTTCTACTAATGTGAAAGCATCTATCAATAAATCCCTACTGGTAGGAGTGCC